CTGCATCATGAATAGAGTGCTAGTGTGTGGGCCCAGGCCCGATGGTGACGAGTGGTGAGCCCGAGGATGTTCTGGCCCGAGCTTTCCCATTTCTCATCAGACTCCTAAGCGTAAATTTGCATTTCAGTGTGCGTTGCCCGAGGTCCGACAGCGACGACTGTTCCGGCCCGAGCTGACTTGGTTGTCAGCAGCCTCTTAGTAGCTAGTGCATCGCGCGAGGTCCGACGGCGAAGTTCCCGCCCGAGCTGACATTGTTCTCGCCGTCAGACTCCCAGCAAATGCCAAGTGCTTGCAAGGATTGGAGGTTCAGGGAACTTAGTTAGGGTGCCCCCGTAAGACGAATCGAAAGCCTCAACCTTGAACCCGCAGCCTGAACCCTAATCTTTAAGCCCGGCGACCGGCGTAAACAAAAGAAGCTGGTGGTTCCGTTACGGAACAGGTCCTTCAGTTTCAGAATCAAGACCCAAACCAGGAGCATGCATCAAATCATATAGCTCCCTCGCTTAATGACGCCTTGCACTCCGAGGTTCTTCGTGGAGCGTGCTGTGGCAGCCGGCCGAGGTGGAAGATGCTGGTGTAAGTCGTCTGGGGAGTTGCAATTCACTCCTGAGGCGCTCGTGGGGGCGCACTGTGGCAGCCAGCCACTCGAGGTGGTGCATGCCTCAAGCCTGCATATGCACCGCGACCCACGTAGTCCGAGGTCCGACGGCGGCAATCGCCCAAGGGGCCAGAGGATGTTCCGGCCCGAGCTTTAGTCTTGCTCGCTTTGCGTGATTGAAGTTGCATGATTTGCATATTCATGGCTTTGGACTTGTGATATTGATATCTCGCAGCTGAGAAGCCACAAGTTAGAAAGCAAGATGCATGGAAGGCATGAGGCAACAGCCAACGAGACAACTGGGGAACTGCTCATTATGATTTAATGCCACCTGGCACCGGGACGCTCACACTGACATAGTCTTAGACCAGTACATTCGTAAACGTAGCGAACTGCATCTATTCAAGCAGCAGATTTGATTTAGCAGAGCTCGCGTGGAGCTTCCATTCTCGGACATGGCTGATCGTGCTGATTCCTCGACTCCTGGCACTGGTCCGACCCCCGCCCCCGCGGCGGAGCAGGACTCTGGCTGGAGCAATTCATATAGTTTCGAGCAAAATTCCGTGTCATTGGCGAGTCAACGCCGAACTGTCCTGCAGGAGCCGAAGACCGAGAAGCCCGAGGAGGTCCAGGCAGGGAGCAAGGCCACTCGAGAGTGATTGTTTTAAATTAAGTTAAATGGATCGCTTGCAGTCTCAGTTGTCATTATCCGTTTCTTGGTCGACCGAGGAAGAGCAGCAGAATGCGGCCGAGATCCCGAAGAAGAAGAAACGGAACCCAGGGAAAAACCAACGGGATCATATGAAGCGCCAGAAGCTTGCTGCTGCAGTGACTAGGCCTTCCATATTTTTGCACTGAGTGGACTGCGTTCTGGTTTCTGAAGCGCATGCCGCACAACCGCTGGCTGAGGCGAATGAAACTTTGCAGTCTGGCCGAGTGGACCCGTCCGAGAAGAAGCCAGTGTTGACCGAGCTTCACAGGAGGCTGGTGCTGGACTTGGCCGCGACTTATCAGCATTTAGCATGAAATCCACAATCCGCCGGATGCGCCGCGTCCTAGGAGTTGAACACGTTGTTCGATGACTACCAGTACGCGTGGCGATGGTACACCAATAGTGCCAAGTGGTGGACTGCGAAGCAGACCTTGATTCCACCGAAGCAGTACAGCACCATGCCCGAGGTCTCTAGGGAAGTCAGGTACCCCAAGGGCACGGCCGACATGAAGACCATGCTGGCTTGCGTCCAGGCTCGGCGGTGACCCATTGCTTTCGGCCCCTTGCTTGGAGTTAGGCGGGTGCATGGCATGGACCCTGGAGGAGATGGCATCGGTTTGTGCCGACGCTCACCGTCTTCTCCTTTGGTGGGGCAATGTCGTGCCTGGATGCCCTTTCAAAGTTCCTGATCCGCCCGAGAGAGCCCTGGCGTACATTTATTAATCAATGAATGGAATCCGTCGTCGTGATTTTCAAATGCTTGGAGTCATTCGTGTCATTCAGGAAAGGATGCCACGACCGAGCAGGACCAGGAGCAGAAGTCCGAGGCTAGATCCAGTGGCAGTGGGCTTCGCAGGTAGTTCGGCCCTAGGTGGGCCACGACCGACGCCCGAGCAGTTGCCCTTAGGCCTTGGTGGACAGCAGGTCGGCCCGAGCTGGTATAAAAAGATTGGTCCGATTGCTGGAACTTGAATGAGTTTGCCGTTGCATCCTGCAGAGCATGTTGAATGAAGCTGCTCACCCAGGTGGCCGTGTGCCTCTCATCTGCTGCAGCTCCAGCCTCAGATTCTGAATCCTCAGTTGAGCCAAGGTGATTCTGCTGCTTATCTTACGACAGACAGACAGCGGCTGCCCGAGGTCCGACCGAGGGAATTCTACTGATGCCCGAGACGACTTGGAAGGCTCGGCAGATTTTCTGTCCGTAGTGCACTGAAGCTGCATGTTGGTCGTTGGAGCTTGATTGGATGAGCAGCTCTGGCATGAGAGTCTATCGCAGTTCGGCTCGAACGAGTGTGTGCCGCCTCTGGCATACCTAGGCATCGTACGACAGACTCAGATAAGGTCGATGGTCACACCTACTTAAATGCCCGAAAGCTACGCCAGAGGTCACATCTAATGCCCGATCACACCTAATTTACTTAAATGCCCGAAAGCTACTAGCCCGAGGTCACATCATCTAAGTCTAATGCCCGAAAACTGTGCCCGAGGTCGCCCTACTGTGTACTCGGCTCCTTTAAAAGGTTCCGAGGAATGGCAGCCGGCGCAAAGGAGGGGCTCGACTTCAGCTGGGTGCCATGGAGCTTCGTCCGAGTTTCGCTTCGGCAACGACCCAAGGTGCATTCACCCAGAATCATGGACTGAGTTGAGGCGTAAGTCTAGGGTTTAGGGTTTCGTGACTTCACTCCGACTGAAATTGCATGAGCACTAAGGTATGCCGCCGTCGCCCGAGGAGTTCGTCATAGCGCCGACCCGGCGAAACAAGGCGGTGGTGGGCAGGCTCTACAACGAGTACTATGACATCGCGTGGGTTCTGAATCACCTCCAGGTCGATATCTTCGCGTGGCTTGTGACTGGACTGCATTCAGTTGAGTAGAGTGATTTTTCGGGTTCGAGCATCGAATCAAGTGACTGTCAGGGCCTCCTCGCGGTGCTCCTTCATCCGCATCCGCAAGCCCGAGAGATGGCGACCGAGATTGGAGGGGCTTTGATCAGGGCCTTTCTGAAGAGGTGCTGGGAGGGGAGCCCTCTTCCGGGAGAGGGCTACTACGCGAAGTTTGCGCAGAAGCTCGTCCGAGATGCCTGCCACTGGCTGCGCCACTTGGCAGCAGGAAGTCGGAAGCATTCACAGGATTGATGCTAAAAAAGTTGTGGCCGATTGTTTTGGGGCTGAGGGACCGAGCACAAGGGGGTGCCGATTCCGAAGAAGGGCGACAAGCCTGTGAGGAAGGCCTTCCTGGCCCCCACGGTACCTTGGCAAGTGACATTTGCTGCCTTATAATAGGGTTTAGGGTTTAGGGTTAACGCAGCATTAAATACAGAACGGTCCGGTCCCCACATCAACTGAGGCTCGGTCGGACGACGCTGAGTTCCTGTTCGGCCGAGTTCCCGACATGGCTTGGTGTCTCGTGCAGCTGGACGCGAGTAGGGATCTCGTCGCAGGCGTCCGAGCCATGTTGGAGTCGGGCCACTCCCACGGATCCTTTGTCATAGTTGGGTAACATTTTGCATTTTTATGGGTACTTTTAAACCAATAAAGGAATATGTAGATTTTTAATCCTATCCCAACCATGAACAGGGGCGGCATATGTGCACGAACATGTGTGCAAATTGATCCGGTCCTTCGACTCGGCGGCGAACTTTCAGGACCGAGACGCCATCGCCCGAGAAAACAAAGTTTTCCCGACCCTGGGCTGTTTCTGCAGACTTTTTGTCCCATGCTACAGATAAGCTTAAGTTAAGCGACCTGCAGAATCAATTTAAATAATAGTGCCCAAGCATTCAGGAACTTCTTGGCCGAGAAGAGGGCGTTCCTGCGGACCGAGCCCGAGGAGTGGAAGCTGGAGACACGGCCGAGCTTCCTCTGGGACAAAGACGAGACTCGGCTCAACCATTGAATTGCCTTAAGTATCATACTTTCAAATGTTGGCCCGAGAGCGACAGACGAAGGACTGGTACTATTGGGACGACACGGCCGAGGATCTGGCCAGCGCTATGGACCTCGCTTCCACCATGCAGGCCCAGGGAGTTCTGACTGGGTTTGGCTTTTTCTCAGGGTTTGGGATTGTGTCTTACACACCCAGGTCCCGCCACCTCCGGCCGAGCCTCCTTCGACGGCTGCCAGTGCATCTATGGACCCTCCGGCCGAGCCTGCTTCGACAGCTGCCACTGCATCTACGGACCCTCCGGCCGAGCCTGCTTCGATGGCTGCCACATCTGCGGACCCTCCGGCCGAGCCTGCTTCGACGGCTGCCACTGAGGACCAGGAGGCCGATCATAGTAAGAAATTCAGGGCTAGGTTAGGGGTTCATGTTCAGGTTGCAGGGTTTGCGGTTTGGCCCAGGCCGAGCAGCCATCATCGTCGTCTGGGCCAGCAGCCACTACGGCCGAGGACTCCGGGTTCAGGGATTCACGGGCTCACTTTAACAAATGAAGAGGTACCAGTTTGGAGTCTTGAGTTTGCCTTTCCCAGGACAGCAGGCCACAGGGCACCAAGAGGGCAAACAAGATTCCACCTACATCGGCCGAGCATGAGCCTGAGACATCATTGGATTGCTTTCTCTGTTATTTTCGCACTTTCTCTCTGAATCTCTTCAGTTATCGCTTCCCGAATTGAGGCACCGCGAGCCGAAGAGGGCGCGACTGGAGACGCCCGAGGCCCCCGTCCGGATCTGGAAACCTCGCCTCCTGTCAATGCGGCCAAGGGTGACAGCGCCGGCTCCAGCACCCAAACCGGTGCCCAAGAAAGCCCCTCCTTTTTTGCGGGCGCGGTTGGCCCCCCCTCCGCCCAAGGCTATCCCGACGACGGCCGAGACCACGGCCGAGGAGCCCACCCCGACGGCCGAGCCCAACCCGACCACGGCCGAGCCCAGCAGCCCCACCATGGCCGAGCGAACAGTATGGTTCGAGGATCCCACCCCGACGCCCGAGCCGATGGCGACAACACCGGCCGAGCCCGAGCCGAAGGCGACAACACCGGCCAAGGCTACGACGGCCGAGCCCAAGGTCCGCCCGAAGTCGAAAGCCAGACCCAAGAAGGGCCAGGGCAAGGGCAAAAGCAAGGGCAAAGGGAAGCGCAGGCGCCGCCGCTTGACGCACGAGGAAAGGCATCCTCGTCCAAGGGTTCGCAGTATGTGGTTTTCCGCAGCTTGGTCTTATTAAGATGCGTGATGCGTTTCTTGTTTTCAGTTGCCGAGTCCATCTCTCTCTGTCTCTCTCTCCCTCTTTCTCTCTGCATGTCTCTCTGTGATGATTCATGCGACTCAGGTGAGCCCCAGCCCTATTGACGTTCCTGACTCAGAGGAAGGCTGAGCCACTCACCCTGCGACCGAGGATGTTGAGGGCGTGCATGAAATTAGCTTGCGTCTGCCCGAGACCTTTTGGCATGACGTCCGTTTTGGCAAGTCCGAGACAATGTCAGTTGCCGTGGTAGGGTTTAGGGTTTACTACGGTCATCACTTAAATAACATCAGAATCAACTTATTGGAACATGATCAAGATTCACATAGGTTGTCCGAGGCATTTGACACGTCTCAATATCAGAGCACAGCCTTGGCCAGCTGCAAGCCTGGCAGCTTCATCATACGCACGAGTAAAAAGCTGTCTTCTTCGTCCTGGTCCTGTTCTTGCTGCTTTTTAGTTTGCATCAGAGCCTTTCTGACCACAGCTCCCTGCAACAGGCCGGACGATGCTTCTGCACGGCACCCGTTCGTCTGCGAGGTCTGTCAGTGACTGCGTGTGTGCAATAGGACAGGACTGCTCAGCTTTCTGCCCGAGGCCGAAATCTTAACAACTGGCCAACCCGACCGTTGCGACCCAAGCTGCTGCCGAGTCTGCAAGGTCGTTCATTGCATATGTTCCTATCTGCTCGACTGACTCTCAGGCCCGAGTCTTGGGCAACTGGCACGCCGGACAGTTGCGACCCAAGCCGCGTCCCATTGACCTCAGTGCGTTTGTTCTCTAGGCATACCCGGCATTTCGTTGCCTGCGGTCTTCGGAGATCTTCGGAGCATTTGCTCGAGGGTGGGGTCGGAGTCCCCAGCAGGCCACTGGACCAGATTGTGCAGCAGCGCCATGGTGCGGAGAGTCGTGAAGAATGTCCGAGTGGTGAGCTCCACCAGGTGCATGTCAGCGCCTCAAAGCTTCGTCGTCGTGGAGTTGCTAAATACACAATCCCTGTAACTCTGTGTGTTGAACCTGAAAGCCTGGGGCTTAGTAAGGCGGGTTTGTTCAACAGACATAACAGGGTCAGGGAGAGGGTTGGCATCTGAAGAACGACAAGCTCCTAGGATGCCTGTTTCAGACTTTTGCGGGCCTGAAAAGTGCAAAATCGGAGGCCGATTTGGGTTCAGGAGTCACGTCTTGACATGCCTGTGACACCCTCTTGGCTGGATTCGAGCTTAAGAATGCAATTCAGTGTCCGAAATTGCACTTTTAGCTCTGTAAAAAGTCCGAAAACCAAGGCCTCTTCCATTTGGAGGCCTCGCGTTGCCGAGATGTTCTTTCCATGTGCTCTAACTATATACCTACCTATGTTAAACCCTAAAATCCCTGGACCTGGAGTCTCGGGGCTGACCTGTAAGGTTTGACCCCGCAACCCAAATCGGACTCCGGTTTTGCACTTTTCAGGCCCGAAAAAGTTCGAACCAGGCATCCAGTCCTGCTACCGTGGGAACCGAAGGTTTAGTAGTTTTGCACGGAGCTCAAGTAGAACCCAAATCGGACCCCGCTTTTGCAATTTTCAGGCCTTGAAAACTCCAAAAAAACAGGCGCGTGGGAGTCGTTTGGCCTCGACTAAGATTAGGGTTTGTTAGTAGGCTCTTACGACGACAACTAAAATTAGGGTTTGTAGTAGGGTCTGGGTGAATTCGAGTTTAGGTTAGACGGAGCTTACCTTTAAAGCTTGACCCCATTGCCTAAAACTCTGGACGCTCGGGCTGAGTTTTAAGACTGCCGTGGAGATCGTTTGGCTTCGACTAAGCTGGAGGCCTGTTTAGACTTTTCCGGTACTGAAAAGTGCAAAAACGGAGTCCGATTTAGGTTCCAACCAGACAGCCAAGCTCCGAGGGTCCAGGGTTTAGGGCTATTTTTAAATAAGTCAGAGTGATGGGGTCAAGCCTTAAAGTTAGCCTTTTGCAGTCGATGAACTCTAACAACCCCTATATTGGCCCCCTTCCTCTAATAAATAACTACGGTAGTAGGAACTTGGCTGGATGCCTGGTTCGGACTTTTGCGGGCTTGAAAAATGCAAAACAGGAGTTCGATTTGGGTTGTGGGGTCAAACCTTATTACAGGTAAGCCCCGACCGGAGATTTTAGGGTTTAACATAGGTAGGTATATAGTTAGAGCACATGGAAAGAACATCTCGGCAAGAAGGCCCGCGAGGCCTCCAACTGGAAGAGGCCTTGGTTTTCGGATTTTTTACAGAGCTGAAAGTGTAAAATCGGACACTGAATTGCATTCTTAAGCTCGAATCCAGCCAAGAGGGTGTCACAGGCATGTCAAGACGTGACTCCTGAACCCAAATCGGACTCCGATTTTGCACTTTTCAGGCCCGCAAAAGTCCGAAACAGGCATCCAGCCAAGTCCTTGGCGTGGTTTGCGACTAAAATGAAGGCTTCGTTTGGTCGGATGTATTAAATATTATTAGTAGGGTTAAAGAAGGGTTTAGGGGTTGTAGGGGTTCATTGGTCCATACATTTCACTCAATGTCAAATCGGAGTCTGTTTTGGCACTTTCCAAGCTAGTAAAAGTATCGGGTAGCCATGCTTCTATGCCTTTGGCTTACATGATACTCGAGGACTGAGCCAATTTTTCCGGTTTCCAAGGTCTAAGATCATAGAACCACGGATTGAGCTGAGGGTTTGATTGAGGTTTCGGGGTGTCTTCCAAGGGGGTTTGGGGGTTGCTGCTGCCGTTCGGTCGATGAGGCCCGAGGTCAAGCCGGCAACATCCGATGTTGCCCGATCCAAGGCCCGGTGAACTGGCGGTTGGAGCATGGTATTCTAAATTTAAACTACCTGGCTGGCAACACCCGAATAGTCAATAACAGCACTCTTTCGTGACAGGCTGACCGCGGGGGGGCCCGAAAAGGACAGCGGTATCAGCGACGAGTCGAGACCACCATTCAGCGACTTCAGATGACTGTGCGTCAGCCACAGACCGTCCCTTCATTCGAATTAGCTGACTCTGAGACTAACACCGGTAATAATATGTTGAGTTGCTTTTCTGCTTCGTGCCACCCGGTGCTCTGGCTATCAAAGGAGAAGAAGCTGAAAAAGTTCATGATTCCGAAGATGAAGTTCGCAAGTGCTGTCCGAGGTATGCTGCCCGAGGGTTTCAGAATCTCTGCGCAAGGCTTGGTGGCCTTGCAAACAGCTGCCGAAGATGAAGCCCATCGCGTTTTGAGCTGCCTGGCTACTATGGCCGAGTCATCTGGGCGTCAGGCGCCACTCGCCAGAGACTTTGTGGCCATGAAGAAAATCCTTCAGTTGGCACCGAGCAGCGAGACAGTGCAGGAAGCTCGGCCCGAGAAGGAGGTGAAGGTGAGATGTGGCCCGAAGAAGACCAAGGTGAAGACACAGCAGACTGTCGTTAAGGCCGAGATACAAAAGTCCGAGACAAAGGTCAAGCGTGAACTCGTCTCTGGCCCGGGGTCGCACGTCACGAAGCTCCAGCCCGAGACGGTCCTGCTGAGGCATCGCCGGAAAGGCAGGCAGCAGGTTAAGAGTGAGCTGTGAGCCCGAGTGCAGCTAGGGGGTGGTTCACTTGTCACAAGTTCGAGAAGCTGCTGGTCTTCATCTTCTTTTGAAGAGCATTTTTTTCGCAGCCACTGCAGTCAGTCCGTCATTAGCCGGGATGATTTCCGGAATCCGAACTGAACATCACCTTTACAATTTCAGGCCAACCCTAAACCCAAAACCTTGAAGCAAGACGGTCTGCAGTTGTGCGAGTCCGAGGGGCCAGGGGAAGAGTTGCACAGCCAGGGGTGTGCGTGTGCGTAACAAATGTCTGCTTGCGAAGTGCATCAGGGAGACAATCATTCAGAGTTTGCTTTAAACTTTGGCATTTTGCAGCAAAGTCGTAACATTCAACCCCTGCCATTCAGAGCTGCTCCGGTGGTACCAGGATCTGCTCAAAGCCACGTCGAGCCCGAGGTAGAAATGACGTGGAGTCGATGTTTTCAGCAGGCTGCTATGGAATCGGGTGCGAGGTGGCCTCCTGGTCTGCGGATTGCCACCGATTGCTCGGGCGTGGAGGTGCACTGTCCGGTCAGTGTTTAGATCCTGAATGAAGCTGCGCCGTTGTCGGTTCATTCGTTGTACACCACGGCATAAATCCATTAGAGCAGCAGTCGCAGGCACCGCTCTGGGCACTGGCTGCCCTCCAGTGGCAGTCCGAGCATGTCAGCTCATGTGACTCAGCGCCCGAAGCACGCCTTGTCATCAAGGCCAACCGTTGCCTGGCTGCAACGAGAACAGGACAGGCAAACTTCGTCTCGATTAAAGTGTTCAAGTTCCATTGCCCACAGACAAGCCGCGCGTCTTCTACGACGACATTCTCAAGCGACGGCCCGAGGAGATGCCCGAGTTTGACGTCTACACCTGTGGTTTCCCCTGCCAACCGTATTCATCGGTTGGGAGCCGAAAGGGCTGGTCAGACGGCAGGTCTTGTGTGTTGCATTTCGACTGCAAAATTGAAGAGACTTCTGAAATGCATTGGGCATACAGATTTCCTGGGACCGGCAATTCCAGTCTAAGGCTTGCGGCCCTGCGCACGATTTCTGCGAAAAAGCCGATCTTGGCAGTCTTAGAGAACGTCTGTGGACTGAAGTCCTTCATGACCGGTGTTTTGAAGCGGTTGACCAAGTTCGTTGCCCGAGACTACGAAGTTGTCGCCGTGCCTGGTCCATGAACTTGGATTGTTGCATGCAGCCGCATGGCGGGATGTTTTTTTCCTACGTGAGTCTCAACTGTAGTTCAGCTAAGTTGGAGTTCGACGCTGTCGTGCTGGGAGCAGCAACGAGAAGGCCGAGGTTGTGGTTCCTGCTGATCAGGAAGGATTCGCTTCGGGTGGACGATGCCGTGGCCGCTGTGTCCGAGTTCTTCCCCAAACTTGTGAAGGCCGGTGCTGCATTGCCCGAGACAATGTCGAGTTTGGAC